TGTGTGTGTGTGTGTGTGTGTGTGTGTGTGTGTGTGTGTGTGTGTGTCTGTCTCCCCGCTGGATGAACAAATGTGAAGAATGCAGCGACGTGTAGGAACAAAAACCTGAAGACACAAACACACCGTCTATTATCACCTGTACGCCTCCACTGATCCCAGCTGATCTCAGCTTACTGGGCTGTTACTGGGAGGACACACTGGGACAATGACGGGACAGACCCGGACATGAGGGGATGAGGTCATAGATACACTACATGAACAAAAGTAATGAAGAGTACTTTTGGTCCGGTTCTGTTTTTCCTGGTTTATCATCGGCCTCTTGGTTCCAATAAAAAGTGGACGCGAGGCAGCTGGCGGACGCGAGGCAGCTGGCGGACGCGAGGCAGCTGAGGGACGCGAGACAGCTGGTGGACGCGAGACAGCTGACGGACGTGAGACAGCTGAGAGAGAAGAGACAGCTGGTAGACACGAGACAGGTTCAGGTCTTACTTGGCATAGGCCTTCTCCAGCAGAGCGCTCCAGAACTCTCTCCCTTCAGCCGAGTGGACGAACATCAGCTCTCCGTCTTTGACCGGCAGACGGTCGTCAATCACAACGTCCACCCACTCACCAAACTGCCAGAACTAAGATGGGACAGACAGAAGGGACAATGAGACATGATAGACATGATGGACATGATGGACAATGAGACATGATGGACATGGGACATGACACATGATGGACATGAGACATGATGGACGTGATAGACATGAGACATGGACATGATGGACATGATAGACATGGACATGATGGACATGATAGACATGAGACATGATGGACGTGATAGACATGATGGACATGATACATGGACATGAGACATGATGGACATGATAGACATGATGGACGTGATAGACATGAGACATGATGGACATGAGACATGATGGACATGATGGACAGGAGACATAATGGACATGATGGACAGGAGACATAATGGACATGATGGACAGGAGACATAATGGACATGATGGACAGGAGACATGATGGACATGATGGACAGGAGACATGATGGACATGAGACATGATGGACATGATGGACATGAGAGACATGAGAGACATGAGACATGATGGACATAACGGCCATGAGACATGATGGACGTGACGGCCATGAGACATGATGAGATGATGGACATGATTGACATGATGGACATGAGAGACATGATGACATGATGGACATGAGAGACATGAGAGACATGAGACTCTGTATTTGTGTACCTTCTTAAACATCACTAGTACTCTGTGTATTTGTACCTGGAAATGGAAGATGCCTGCGTACTCTCCTCTCCTGAAGTTTTGTCCATGAGGAACGACTTGAGCCAGAACTTCTTCGTTCAGAGTCAGAGAGGCGATGGCAGCGAGCAGCCAGCAGTCACCTGGATGACAGACAGGAAGGAGGAAGGGGCGGGGCTTAGTCAAGGCCTCTGCTGCTCTGTGATTGCCTAGATTGCCTCTCAAACGTTTCCCTTTGTTGCTATAGAAACTACTGCGATGACATCACCGTCAGTCAGCCGCCACCCACCTGCTTTGTTTACTGTCTCTGATGACACGCCTCGACACACACACACACACACACATAAAAACTAAAACTAAAACACCTCACAGTCTCCTTCATCTACATTCTAGACTAAAACTAAAACACCTCACAGTCTCCTTCATCTACATTCTAGACTAAAACGAAAACACCTCACAGTCTCCTTCATTAACAGTCTGGACTAAAACTCAGACACCTCACAGTCTCCTTCATTAACATTCTGGACTAAAACTAAAACACCTCACAGTCTCCTTCATTAACAGTCTGGACTAAAACTAAGACACCTCACAGTCTCCTTCATTAACAGTCTGGACTAAAACTAAAACACCTCACAGTCTCCTTCAGCAACAGTCTAGACTAAAACTAAAACACCTCACAGTCTCCTTCATTAACAGTCTGGACTAAAACTAAAACACAATCTCCTTCATCTACAGTCTGGACTAAAACTAAGACACCTCACAGTCTCCTTCATTAACAGTCTGGACTAAAACAAAGACACCTCACAGTCTCCTTCATTAACAGTCTGGACTAAAACTAAGACACCTCACAGTCTCCTTCATCTACAGTCTGGACTAAAACTAAAACACCTCACAGTCTCCTTCATTAACAGTCTGGACTAAAACTAAGAAGTTCCCTTCGTGTCTTTGTTCTCACCCAGAGCTCCTTGACAGATGTCCGTTCTCGAGGCTCCAGAGACGATGAACTCGGGGTCAGAGGTCAACTCCTGCACATGAAAGACAACAAGTTATTGATTTATTATTCAAGAACATGATCATGGAAGTTATTGATTTATGATCACGATCATATAAGTTCTTGATTTATGAACACGATCATATAAGTTATTGATTCATGATTTATGAACACGATCATATAAGTTATTGATTCATGAACACGATCATATAAATTATTGATTTATGATCAAGATCATATAAGTTATTGATTTATGATTAATGAACACGATCATATAAGTTATTGATTTATGATTCATGAACACGATCATATAAATTATTGATTTATGATCAGGATCATATAACTTATTGATTCATGATTTATGAACACGATCATATAAATTATTGATTCATGATCAGGATCATACAAGTTATTTATTTATGATTTATGAACACGATCATATAAGTTATTGATTCATGAACACGATCATATAAGTTATTGATTGATGAACACGATCATATAAATTATTGATTTATGATCAGGATCATATAAGTTATTGATTTATGAACACGATCATATAAATTATTGATTTATGATCAGGATCATATAAGTTATTGATTCATGATTTATGAACACGATCATATAAATTATTGATTTATGATCAGGATCATATAAGTTATTGATTTATGAACACGATCATATAAATTATTGATTTATGATCAGGATCATATAAGTTATTGATTTATGATTTATGAACACGATCATGTAAGTTATTGATTTATGAACACGATCATATAAGTTATTGATTCATGATTTATGATCACGATCATATAAGTTATTGATTTATGAACACGATCATATAAGTTATTGATTCATGATTTATGAACACGATCATATAAGTTATTGATTCATGATTTATGAACACGATCGTGTAAGTAATTGATTCATGATTTATGAACACGATCGTGTAAGTAATTGATTTATGAACACGATGGTGTAAGTTATTGATTCATGATTGATGAACACGATCATATAAGTTATTGATTGATGATTGATGATCACGATCATATAAGTTATTAATTTATGAACACGATCATATAAGTTATTGATTTATGAACACGATCATATAAATTATTGATTTATGATCAGGATCATATAAGTTATTGGTTTATGAACACGATCATATAAGTTATCGATTTATGAACACGATCATATAAATTATTAATTTATGATCAGGATCATATAAGTTATTGATTTATGATTTATGAACACGATCATATAAGTTATTGATTCATGAACACGATCATATAAGTTATTGATTCATGAACATGATCATATAAGTTATTGATTTATGAACACGATCATATAAATTATTGATTTATGATCAGGATCATATGTTATTGATTTATGATTGATGAACACGATCATATAAGTTATTGATTCATGAACATGATCAATAAGTTATTGATTTATGATTGATGAACACGATCATGTAAGTTAGTGATTCATGAACACGATCATATAAGTTATTGATTTACGAACACGATCATATAAGTTATTGATTTATGAACACGATCATACAAATTATTGATTCATGATCAGGATCATATAAGTTATTGATTTATGAACACGATCATATAAATTATTGATTCATGATCAGGATCATATGTTATTGATTTATGATTGATGAACACGATCATATAAGTTATTGATTTATGAACATGATCATATAAGTTATTGATTCATGAACATGATCAATAAGTTATTGATTTATGATTGATGAACACGATCATGTAAGTTATTGATTCATGAACACGATCATATAAGTTATTGATTCATGATTTATGATCACGATCATATAAGTTATTGATTTATGAACACGATCATATAAGTTATTGATTTATGATTTATGAACACGATCATGGAAGTTATTGATTCATGATTTATGAACACGATCATGTAAGTAATTGATTTATGAACACGATGGTGTAAGTTATTGATTTATGATTGATGAACACGATCATATAAGTTATTGATTTATGATCACGATCATATAAGTTATTTATTTATGATCACGATCATATAAGTTATTGATTTATGATCACGATCATATAAGTTATTGATTTATGAACAAGATCATGTAAGTTATTGATTTATGATTACGATCATATAAGTTATTGATTCATGATTTATGAACAAGATCATGTAAGTTATTGATTTATGATCACAATCATACAAGTTATTGATTTATGATCACGATCATATAAGTTATTGATTTATGAACATGATCATATAAGTTATTGATTCATGAACACGATCATGTAAGTTATTGATTCATGAACACGATCATGTAAGTTATTGATTTATGATCACGATCATATAAGTTATTGATTCATGATTTATGAACAAGATCATGTAAGTTATTGATTTATGATCACAATCATATAAGTTATTGATT